TTACTATAAAAAAATTGAATAATAGATTATCTTTTTGTATACTAGTCTTAATCTTAACTAATGTTTATGCCTGACTTGCTTACTTGAAATCAATTTTTGCATTCACACTTTCCTTTTATTTATGAATTATAATTTTTAATCTATAATCTAATTGATTTATAATGCCAATATTTTCTGATTATAAAATAAACGATTGAACKCAAGGTATTATAACTAAATATTTTCAAACAAAATTTTTTACTAGATTATATTTTTAGGTGCAGAAACAGTAACATTTATCAGAACTATTGACAGGACATTTGATTTTTTGAACACCCATAATCCATTTGGTAAAGGATTCAAAAAACCACTCTATAAAAATGGTATTGGTAATATGAAAAAAACTATTGTACAGTTAGTTGATTATTTATTAATTTTAACCAATATAAATATAATTTGTGATACTTGTGATTTTTTATGCATACTCACCCTATTTTTTTACTTCAATAATACATATTATAATCAATTTTTCGAGATTTTAAATACGCTTGAAGATTTTTAAATACTTGAGATTTTTATGACATTTAAGAACAATGTTGTTACAATACAATACTATTTTTATAATAGGAATACTGAATACTCTATTTTTACTTTTAATTATTTAGYAGATATTTTAAATGGTGGTGAGCTTTTTTACCAAGTAAAAATTAGTCAAGTAAATGTTGTTATTTTTATTATGGGGCCCCTTAATAAAACTGATCCATGGGCCTTTGGTGTGCCAGTCTGACACTGGATGTATCTTTAATAAACCATACCAAGTTGGTAATTCATTAAAATGTTAATAATTTTTGAATAGTAATACAGATCTGTATATAGTGTAGTATAGAAGTCTGTGGCTAGTAAATAGTGTTTTGCCAACCAAAAACATGGCAGCCGTTTTATCAGTGTACTTCACTTTTCGTAATATAAAAATCGCCCAGTTCAGATTCTGGTATAATATAGACATCTGTGGTTGTCCCTAGCTATTGTATAGAATTACTAAATCGTATATTATAATTAAATAAAAAATCTGAAAACAATACAATTTTAAAAGATTTAAAGATATTAAATACTCATTGGTGAGTCAAAAATGTTTAATGGTGATAGAGATGTAATAAGACATAAGTAATAGTCGGGGTTAGGAAAATGAAGYTAATTCTAAACCTATGTGCTAAAAATATGCACTAAAAAATTATATATATATACAAAAATAGAAACTTCACAAGAAAATTAAGTACGACAAAGAATAACTACGACACGTTCAATTGAAAAAAACAACTAGTTTAGTAAGTATGAGTAACACTAGTCGGGTGGTACTTCTTAATGGTGGTGRTATTGCTTCTCATGGGCAGTGAAAGAGTACTGAGGGGCAGAGAGCTCATTTTGGATTCTGAGGAGGCAATATGGCTTATATGACCAATTTATTCACAAAATCCAATGACATCAATTTGCAACTTCAAGGCAACAAGCTTAATCTCATATCAATTAATATATATTATTTCTGCCTTCTAAAAAACACAATCTTTATGGAAGCAGAATATTTTGGTCGCAATGAGTTTAGCTAATTTCCAGTCCTGTTGAATCTACACAAGAACAGTGAAATCTAGATTGATGACACACAAATTTACTGTCAACATCTTCAGTATTTGGATAAAGATTTTTCACAACGTTTTGAAGATATTTTGTCCATGGAAGTTCCTCAATCAACAACTTATAACACATTTATTAAAATGTTATTACATAAAATATGAACAATTTTGATTAAAAAATG